CATCCACATTGCAAAGCAACTTCAAATTATTACATCCGTGAAAGTGAAAAAAAGATAATCGCAGTATCATTGAGGATCAGATGCAATATGAACAGCAAATATTAGTGAAGATTTCGGTGCACTCGCACAGCGAATACGTAACACCGAAACAGACTAATTAAAAGATCAAAAGACTCAATGAAAGTGACGAATTAAGGCAATCTTTACAGTGCACACTTTCCAATCGATATGAAATAAACTCCAAGCGAATAACCATAACACATCATGCCGTAGTGAATGCTTACCGTCAATGCATAATTGCCAAGAAGACTTACTGTTATAAGATTAACAAACTAGCTTAATATAAGCAAACAATCCACTGTTTCAGACTGCTCCCACCAAGTAGATGCCGTCAACAATGGAACTGAATACATTATTATTATTGTCATTGTTACAGAGCAAGGTGATGGACACATTGTTCCATACAGCAATAGTCTCTTCATATTCCGTTAGCACATTGATAGCTGTCAGCAAATAAAGCCGTTTAACATTTGTTTTTCACAGTTAGGCAAATGATGATGGTCCTACCACTCCTTTTCATTAATTTTATGCTTTCCATGGGATTAACTGTTTGTAAACTTGTCCATTTTAATAAAACTTCTTAAACAGTGAATCAAATTTAGAGGTTCATCGTATGAGAAGATAGATTGTGCGTATACCATAACGACAATCCTTCCCGAGTCATCAAGTTTACAACAACTTTGAAAGATTTCAGTTTTGATCGCAATGCAGCAGCGTCGTAAGAAAGAATATGCTGAGTTAAATACCAAAATAAATACCAAATTTATACGGTGAACGGTTGATTTGTCGATCGCTCTATGCGATCGACAAAATGTTCGTCATTGTTGCGATTGTTTAATGGATTGTTGTTGGTATTCGGCTGGATTTGATTATGCAAATTATCTATGGCAACTGGCACTAGTTATTGGTTGGTTGTGGAGTGCTATGGATCTACTCGGTTACATTAATCGTTTATTATTGATAACGAAAGATTATTGATTCACTACTGTTGGTTGTTCCAAACAACTACTCTGAACGATCGTTGGACAAGTGTTCAATCGATTAATCGGAATGTATTTTCGAACTCCTTCTGAGTCTCTCTCCCTAGAAATCATTGGACAGTATGGGAGAGTAGCCCAAAACCTCTGTGCTTGCCAGATCAATAATCCAGGTTCGAATTTCATGAAGACAGATGATTCCAAACGCTGTTATCGGTAGCAGCGCGCAAAGAAGAATGCCAACGAAGGAAGAATGTGATAGCAATGATATTGATGATAACAAAGAGGCATAAACTCGTAATGAGTTTGATTTGCTGATTAAATATATAAATAAATAAATACCAAAAAACAAAGTATCCGTTGTTAAAGCTCCACATGCCCCTCTTGGTACTCGTTTGCTGATATTTTTTGTGTGCGCAAATTCAGAGCATCTTAAAACTTTCGATTGTTTTGTTAGTTGACTACCGAACAAAGATGTTTGCTTATATCGAATTTGCATTTCACGTAATTAAAGATGAACAGATAAGCTGAATCAAGTAAACCACAAACAAATGGCCCTTACTCCAAAAATCCGACGTCGAATGTTGAGATGCCGTGAAAACAAAACATAAAAGAAATGGTTCACTTGAAGACGCCAGAGGAAAGAAATGATAAAGAAAAGATGTAGACACAAAAACAGCATAGCTCGTTGTTAGAATTCATAAATAATAAATTCTAAAAGGTTGGCTGGTAAATGCCCTTTAATAGATTCGGTTCTGATCAATTCATAATATAAACTGAAATGTTTAACTCAGTAAAATTAGCATAAAGGAGATCTTGTGAAGAAAACAAACAAAAGCGAAACGAGATCACAATTATAGCGTATCGATGTTATTATGAAACGCGATACTTCGCTTATGACGTCGAAATAAAACATTAATGAAGATAACAATTTCATCACTACGAAGTATGTGGGCATGATAATCATCATCGTTGTGGCAGTAATGCAGAAACACATTCGGCATTCGTATGGAATAACCGCTACCGTGGGTGTCAGCTTAATGCAAGCAAGCAACCCGCAAGGCCAGACAATTATTCAAAAATTGGTGTCTTTTATGAGACCACTCCTAACTTTGGTCAACTGAACATCGCTCTGAAGAAAAGGTGAAATTTAAGAGAAATAATTGTATCACTCAAGTGCACTTTATTTCGGATATGATAAATGAATTTCTTCACTTCAGACGGGCAAAAAATGAAGTTCTGAGGCGATTATCCAGTCTCGAACTTATAACTCGAAACATTTCCTTCGTTACTGCCCTTTTCTATTTGAAGAAAATTATTAGGACCGGAAAACAACTACTTAGCCCATATTATTACCAATTGAGCAATAACAGATACAAATGTGTAAGCTTTATAGTCAGACGAACCTCATTATTAAACGGAGTCAAATTAGATGAACCACTACAAATATATAGCCACATCATCTGGATATCATTAATGCTATCATTTCACGGCGTCACAAAAACAATCCAGCCAGCCGGATTCGAACCAGCGACCTAAGGATGCCCGCGTTTACTCTACAGTCCTCCGCTCTACCAACTGAGCTATGGCTGGAACGAAATTTGTCACTCACAAAACTGTTCACCTGAGTGAATTACGATAACCACTGACTAACGATAACTACAGGTATGACAACCGATGTTTCCTTTTCATTGTGAGAGACAGTTTTTGCCCCGGGAATAAAACAAAATTTTTCGGCTTCAATCGCGGTGAACGGGGCAAAGTATCTATTAGATGAATATATCCATTAATATATCTAAAAGTATCTATTAATAGATGAATTTTTTGCTCTATGTATCACTTTGACCTTCACCGTTAATCGTGTTTGATGTTTCCATGTTTGATTCACACATTTGGTATGTTGGATCGCTGTGATTAGTGTTCCTACTCCGCAACTTGAGTATTAAAAATGTTTCGAATTTTTACTCGCCGATGTTTCCATTCATCCATCGCCTTTCTATCAGCTTATATAAATACCTAACAGCATTCAAGCCTCTGTCTGCTCCGTCCAAAAAACGGCTCATTCACCACTCATCGTCAGCATCTTATCGTAAGGCTTACGTCATGAAACGTGTAAATGATTGTTCATTACTATCATTCACTATTCATGTTAATGTACTATCTAAATATCTCATCAAGCGTCATGAACCGTTCCCGTGAGGTTCATTGTTCTGTTAGGAATGAGAATATGCATAATAGTGAGTTCACGATAAAACAAATATGATTATGGCGTAATGATGATGAACAAATAAGTGATAATTATTATCAAGGAAACGTGAATGCATCGATATGATATAAGTAACTAAGGATAACGCGAGTAATGTTGAGGGATTAGGGGGAGTGGGAGGGGGCTGTCGATAGTATTAGAAATAAGTCAACTGACATGAAGAAACACAAGGGACGAAGACACTCTCATGGTATCGGATGCACACTAATGAGTAGTCCTGAGGAACACAGAAACTATTTTGCTAAGAATTAGACTTTCAACAAAAGATTAATGTGCTTACAACCTCAGACTGCGGGGACTTTAGTTCTCAAGAACATATCAAAGATCGACACGGGGTTTCTTCTTGCTATGGACAAACTAGGATGGCATACATACGGCGAATAGCCTCGCTTACGCGTACGATTTGTAGCTTTGTGTCTACTAAATTGAACGCGTATATGATAATGTGTAAGATATGTATGAATAGATATTACGAAATTACACAACAACGTAAAAAGCTGCACCAAGTCATGTTACGTTACGGTTTAAACTGATAAACACGATATTTTGTTTAAAAGCCAATAAATGCAGGATGAACAGATGATGTGGTGATGTTGTAAGAATGGTGTGGCTCGGTATGCATGATTCATATAAATGATTGAAATATCACAAAACGATGGCTCTTTCAATTACGTTCGGCGGTTGACGACATGATTACATGCCAATTTATGTATTTGCAATATTCTGATTCGAGTTTAAGACCGATATATTTTTGCCTGTGGCTACCGAAGTTCAGGAACCGGCAAAGCAACCTTTGACGATCGGTCGGTGGCTGCCTACATAATGGCTGAGTATACCGGTTGGTCGGTGACTAGCGATTTTTAGCCGGCACCGTTTCATCGATTCAAATGATGTTCATAGTATTCAATTGCAGATATGGTGAAAATAGTGCGTTGGTTCACTGACCCACAAAGTGTAGCAAAGCATGAAAATAATCATTCTGTTCTCAACTGTCCTAATGAATTTCATTTTTCATGATTAAATCAGTTGCCCGAACGGCTCACTGGATAATCGAAGACGCCAGTTACGACATGATTTAAAGTGAAGGGATTAGTTACAGTATTTCAAGTTTGATTCCTACGACGTAACTTTTGAAATGACTGAAGAAAGTAATACAGAAGCTAGTGAGCGTCATTTTGTTGTGAATCTCGCAACTTTAAAATTTGATTATCCCATATGAATGACGCCGAATACAGTCCTCACTCAGTGAAAGCAAATGCCAATGATTTTGCAGTCCACAATTGTCCTCAGCTCTTCGTGTCCAACTCAACGACACAAAGTCGTTCTAATTATATTCTTTTATTGTAGAAACGTTAGAGAAATGATTTCGATAATGACAAGAGATCTGCTATTAAACAACGATTATCAAAACACATCATTGCTTTTGTTTGCTTGAGTTGGTTGCTTGACGAAAGCGCAATTTTATATTCGGTTGACAGCTGAAAGTAAAAGTGGAAGAGTCATAAATCTTCAAAGCAAGCGATAAGTAGCAGAGGAATGTAGAAAAAGACAAGCAATTTCACACGGAATTTCCCCTCGTTCGCTGTGGTCGCAATACATAAGCACTTAATTACACAGAGACATTCAAAAGCATATCAATGAAATGCTAAATGATTGGCCAAAGCAAATGTGCACATTGTAGAATTTTTCGATGAGTTTTATCTCCATCTGTAGTCGTCATCGTTAGTGGGATACGGTGGTGCATTGGGAGCGGGTGCTGATCGACGTCGTAGACTTTCTTCAGTTGCTCGTCGCATTTGCTCTTCTTCGCTCAATCCTCCCGTATACCTATCGTAACCGTTCCCTGATAATATGTTTGAGTTGAAGACTTCACTTTTATCAATATATTTTCGTTCTATCAGAAAAAAGTAAAACAGCACTTCACCAAGTGAATACTTTTTCATTGCCCTTCTGTGCATATTAAATGTTGAATATTTGTTTATAGTGAACATTCAGGCCTACAATAAGTCAACGAAAAGAAGTTTTACTACTACCAGTTCACTGAATCAACTTGAGGAACCTACTGCTGAAAGGGCTAGGTTAACGTGAGTTACCTCTACCGGCCCTCCAACCATATGTGGGTTGATCACCACTTGAATATCCAGTTGTTCCGGATCCCCAATTCCAGAAATTGTTTGGCCGTCTGGGCGGAGAACTTCGACGGTGACGGTATGCACCATAATTGGAGGAATTTAACTCTCCAGGCAATCCTATAACAAATGAAATGGCAACAGATTCCTTTCATGAATACAAATTCCTCTAAAAAACATCTCGTAATAAATAAATGAAGCAAATGAATATAATAAAGATGCAACCATAAGTTACTACTGTTATTGGAGAGTTCCTTAAAAAACAACCAATCATTATTTGAAAGTGACGAACCAAATGAAAGTGGAAAAACAGCTTCGATACAATCGACGAAATATTTCAAAGGACCATACGTGTATAATAAACCGACAAGAATCCCAGCCAAATGACCAACAAAAGATGCTTCTGGTGCCAACAGCTAAAATTACACCAGAGCAATTAATATAAGACTGTGAACTGCACTGTGGACAAGTTATGAACAAGTACTATAGGAACAGGAACGAAACCTGAATGAGAATAAGTTCGGCCCAACAAGCGTAACGTGATGGAATGGGCATCCAGCCCAGCAACATTGCGTCCTCGTATGGAAAATATGTTGTATGAAGCACTTTCAATGCGAACAATACACCTGAAAGATCTCGAAGAATACGCAAGCGGAGCTGAACTTTTGAAAAATACTGAGGTGGATCTGGAACCAGAGCCGAAAGTTGGAAATTATAGAGGTGGAGGTGGAGATTGAATTTCTTTAAATTTTGGCGTCACCGGTCACGATCATAAGTCAGTCAAATTATTCTTCCCTTCTTTCCACTTCATTCATTCTTCTCATTTTTCGCTCTTCCCTCTATCTTTCCCTTTTCCTTCGCCTTTTCTTCAACCCTCCAAAGGAGAAGCATTCCCCAGCGCCTCCTAGCTACGCCACTGCGTACCACTGAAGTGTTTCTGAAACTTATTCAGAACGAACCTGAAAATCCCACAGCACATTGATGCATAAGCCCCAGATCATGGAGATGTAACACATCAGTGGCAAGAACACTTAACGCCACAATACCGATACTCGTTGATATGGCGAACGTTAAGAGAATCAGAAGAAAACGCCATGAACCTAGACGTTTTTCTAGTCGACGACCCTGCAATTGCACCACACATTCATTTGTCCAATGTTAGTGCTCATTCACTGAGGAATAGATGCTTTCGTAACTACTGCTATTGAACGGTTGAGCATAAATTGCAATTTCACGGTGATACGAATTCGTCGTCATCATCTCACATTGTTGGAAAAGAGAAATAAACGAATTGTGACATTTTCAACTGAAACTTGCCGAAGCACTCATCGCAAGCTGATAAATTCCTCCGGCAACATCATCATAATTCAGCATTACATCTCAATTTCATGAGCGCTGATCATATGACTAAATAGCAATTATACGACAATAAAAAGTGATATACCTTCCACAGTAATGATACCATATTATAATAAAGATGCATATCATCTCCATGCATGACAACCGATGCTAGCATTCGGATCCATTCATGACGGTTTATTATTCGAGACGGTAACAAACACATTTCCCCTGCATAAATGAATTTTTCAGCGAGAAATTCGAAAGAGTAGAGTAAAACTGAACTGAAAATGATGAAAAATTTTTAAGGAAAGTATTTTGTTTGATGTGAACAGACATAATAATCAGTGAATCGTACGTGTTTTCCATGGTCCAATTGGTGGTACGAAACCAAGAAAAACGGCCATTTGAAAGAGAATGGCAACCAAAGTCACTGGTGGTATATAGTCATTTTGTAGCAGTTGATAGGCCAATAAATAAACACCGAAATTCTGTTGACGTCGTCTCTGTTGAAACATTCTCAGAACTGTTGTGGTTAGACAATGGAATGGAATCTGAATTCATTGAAGCCGTTTTTTGATCAGTGATCAAATCTAAGCGGGGAAATTCATATAAGAACGAGATTCGATCACATCATTTGAATGGCATTCAGTTATTCCTTACTACAGAACAAAGCAATCGCTATTGCAATTCATCAGTGAATGTTTATAATAGTGACTATAACTTCAAAAGCAGGGTAGCATTAGTGAAAAACTTCATATGAATGACAATGAGCGATACAAAAACTTCATATGAGCAATGCAAAATGCAATGACATAGACATTTCAGCGAAAAGGAATCAATACGGCAAGTGTCGTGAATAATGAGAATGACAGTTGAATGTAATTTGCACAACTGTTTTAGTTATCTCAACTACTGAATGAGTAAATTTCCGATATTTCCAGTTGACGATAATCGCCGGCAATTTGCTTCACACAACGTGGAAAATATGAAATGAAATGGCAATGCCAACTGTGAAAACGGAGGTCATCGCGAGAGAAATTTTGTTTGTTGTGTGAACATTTCGTAATTTAACGTAGTGCGACGTCAGCAAAACATTTTTCATATGTAGGACGTATGCGTCATCAGCTGAACATTGTTACAGCATGAGCGATATCGCTTTGCTAACAAAACTTATTTTCAGCCATCGTCATCCTTGTGCAAGCGAATGGAAACGAGCTAGCCAGAGAATTGCGGTAGTGATGTGGTGAATTTTATGAAAGATTATGTCCGTGTTGATAATTGCACAATTATAAAGTGATATTTTTGAAACTTGTTTTCGTGTCCATGAAACAGAAGTTCAATTTTTTTGTGAAATCTTTCATCAAACAATGTCGAATGATAAAATACGATTGCAATTATATGTGAATTGAATTAATTTTTCACAGCATAATGAGTGATAACATGAAACAAATTTCTATTTGTATTAAGGTGTTGTATCCTTGAGCGACATTGTGATGGTGCTCAAGAAGACAATTAATGTATATCGGAACTTTTCGCTTCGCAGAAATCCATTTTCGAATTCTGATTCGTTTCAGGAATGAACCAAATTGTACCAATTACATGTTCGAGTGGAATCTCGAATATTTACTTTTAATTAATGATACCATATTGACATTTTCGCTGATGACTGCATTCCATTCAATATTTGAACGTTCGCTAAAAGATATTTCAAACCATAATTGCAATGATGTTTTCCTGAATGCACAGACAATACCCTTTGAATGTTTTTATTTAAATTATAATCACAGTAAATAAAACAGAATAAACATAATAAATATCCAATGCCCAACGATACATTTCAATACAGATGAATACGGAGGCAACCAATCGAAGGCGAGATGCCATTATTTAGAGAAAATATGAGTAGGAATAAAAAACATTGGATGACAAATAAGTCAGGAGTTTACTACAGACTCGTTTTTCCTGCGAAAACAAACCTTCCCGAGAATAAAAAAGTATTCTAAAGAAAATGGTCAAGCTCCTGAATATCTTCTGAGTAAATTATCTTATCGAAATACCTCCTTAAATGAATCCATCGACATATACTTATGCAAATCCTATAAACGCACATAAAACTACGGTGGGATGGACGAATATTTCGAATAATTTACATTCTGCTTGTTCATAGTAGCTTCCTCTCACTGGGGAATATCGAATAAATTGAGAAGATTGAATACCTCACCGATACTTCAAAAAATAAATTGCACATAAAGATTCATCGATCACAACAAGATTCATTTCATCATGTAAATAACCAATCAGAAGCGACACATTAAAGCACAAATTCATTTCCGTAAGTGAATTATACTGCGAAATGTTATCAAACTTCATCTTATAGAATCATTTCCTCATAAGTTTCTGTACCACGGCAAAACAGGTAGATTTACTGAAGAAATGGGTAGATCACCGCCAACGTATACACAGCTACTCGCATCACTTCCATCCTTTGAGCAACTCTTCGATCTAAAAATTCTCGATACTGCAGATTATTAACTAGAAGTGATTAAAGACACAAAACCTCATGACATTCCATTGTTGTCCCGTAAAAGTGGAATAATATTGCAGTGATATACGGCACAACCTCACACCCCTTCAGTAATTTTCATCAGAAACCGTAAGGATATTATATAAATCAAAACAAACCTGTTCAACAGTTTTCAGACACAAATTCGAATATTTATTGCTCGGATCAACGAGTTTTTGATAGAGCACACTGTATGCCGCAACCAGATTCTCAACTGTCCTCTGTTGTATGGAGTCTCTAAAATAAAAGGAATATATTCTACAGGATAAAAACTAAACTGAAACAATACCAAATGCATAAAGATACTACAAATTTATCAGATAGCGCAAACACAAATTGAGGAACTACTGGAATTATTCGCAATCACATATTTCAACTCAACAACCTTCCGCTCAAAGAAATTTGCAGAGTTGGTTGTCAGTTACCTCAATGACCAAAAAATGGTGACAGTTATTTTGTGAGGTCTATATGCCGAGATATACCTGACTCGAACTGATGAGATTTTGGCACACTGATCCAGTCGATAACTATCCGGATTAGAGAGGAAACCATCGAAAAGTGTCATTGCATTTGAGATTCGAGACCCATCCATACCGTTTATCTCCGATAAAGCACCCTAAAGACGGTACATTTGCTCGACATGACATTAAAACTAACTGTCTGCAGAGAACAAAGGTATAGACAGAAAAAGAAACATTGCCGCAAGGAACTTACTTGGCTGGGTTGGTGAGCAGCTGCTTTTGTGTATATTTCGATGAGACCTGTTTGAGTGAGAATCGAAGTGACCTGTTCACTTACGAGCACATCTTCATTTGCATCTGTCTGAAATAAAACACAACTTACACGCTTATAATCAATAGGTCAAACGAGATGATCCACAAAATATTTCACGAAACCAGAGCATTCCATCACAGTGTATACACATACCTGTGCTTTAATCATTTCAAGTCTTGAATCTGTATACTGATAGAGAATAATGACGGCATTGATAGCAGATAGGCAATTCAGTGTATACACGGCGACATCTAAGGGTGAACTGAGTTGTGTGGCTGATAGCTGTACTGCCTGATTAAGAGGATCTAGTACAGCAGCAAAAATCTGAAAAGAGACAATAAAAGATCAATATCGGCAAAAGGCAAAAGAAGGGCCCAGCCGGTGATCGAAACCGGGACCTCTCGTACCCAAAGCGAGAATCATACCACTAGACCACTGAGCCGGTATTTTAGGCGATGCTNAGACCACTGAGCCGACTATCTCTTACATGATTTCATTTGTGTTGTTTCGATTGAACACGTCTTGGTGAACCGCTTTCAACCTATTTGTAATTATATTTTATCGCTCCTAACAATAAGATAATAACTAACGCCATAGAATGCAAAAAGGCACGAGGGACGGTAGAGAACAACTGAATCCAATTTATTCAAAATAGTGAATCGTAAATCATGAGATCAACTAAATATAGACTAGTTCATAGCCGAATTCAATCAATGAATACCGTGAGCTTTGTTAATTGCTTAGTCTAACACTGCTTCCATTTCTAGAATTGAAACAATAAAAATAAGATTCATTTAAAAACACCTTAAAGAAATTTTCCTTTTTGTCCGCTACTGCGGCCACAGCACCATCATGTGATTCGAGCACATCTCTCAACAGTAGCAAAATCTGATGCACTGCTTGTACAGGCAACAGATCATAGTCTGGAGTACCCATCTGAATTCGGAATTCCAATCAAATCATTTCTGAATCCCATTTCAGTTTAAAATTCAATCACGAAAAAGCGTGATACTGAGACTTCGCTCGTTCGGAAACCGAGCCCTTAGTGCTCTCCTTCACCACTTTCGGCAAATAAAACTCCAAGTGACGATGATTCCGAACCATGACTAAAGTGTGAATACCAAGAAAATCTCATATCAAATTTCAGAGTTTACAACATTGATTTACGGCGCAATCAACTAAACACATGACAGATTTTCGATGTAAGTAGGGTGAGAAGTAAGTCAACTGATACAATATTAAACTAAACACAAAATATTACTCTGCCAAGCAATTTTTGCACCGAAGAATTAAGGCCGCTGAAGAACATGTTTAATGTGAGCTCTTTGAGTTCATTTATTGTCTGCAGAAGAGCTGCATCTTCGCTCACTGACTGACTGAAACAACTTTGGTATACTCAAATCAATCACAAAAACGTTGCATATTAAATAAAGTAATTATCTGCTCAAGCTAATGATGCGCAAAAGAAGGGCTCAGCCGGTGATCGAAACCGGGACCTCTCGCACCCAAAGCGAGAATCATACCACTAGACCACTGAGCCGACACACTCGACCGCAAGTTCATTTGTATTGTTCCGATTGAAGACGTTTTATTAAATTAATCTCAACCTCTTCGTAACTGAATTTTATCATTCCTAACAATAAGATAGTTATAGGAAACTAACGCCATGGTGTCGCCATAGAATGCAAAAAGGCACGAAAGACGGTAGAGAACAACTGAATTCGATTCTGCTGAAAGAGCTTGTTCGACACGAACCTTAAATAGAACGGAATGATTCACTTCATCTTCTTCATTCTCCATCTACAGCATTCAAAAACAATTGCGATTACGACTAGGAAACAACGTAAAATTTCTTGACTGAAAAATTGTACCTAATTTCAAAAGAGTTACACCGAAATTTTTAACAGGAGAAACCGAAATAACAAATACGAGCAGACATTGCTGAAATGTGTACGAGACTTTCAAGAGCTCTGGAATGCCAGATCACTTCGAAAATAGTTCGATAACGACAACGAAAACAAACCTTAAACGGCCGACATAAAGCCTCCGATATTTGACCAAGTACAGTGGTAATGTGTGCATTCAATACTGAAATTGAACATAAAACATATCAAAGAATGCAAATATCAAGACAGTAAGAGCCTTTAGTTAGCTTAATTACTTCCCAACATCGCTAAACATATACGTGTGGCTGTCACATAATGATCATGTATCATTTGGTTTGCTATATCCCAATGAAATCACTCACGAAAAGAGATCAAAATTCAGATTCAAGAGAAAAAACTGACTGCAAAGCAAGTAATGTAACATACCTTCTGGTCGACAGAGCTTAAGCAGCGTTTCTAAAAGTTCACGTTCAGAGGCCAATCCCTGATGGATCCATGCAAGCATATCGCCAATATACCTGTGATTGACGGATGATGAACATCAAAAAATTCAGCTCAAGTAATTGTCATTAATGATATCTTCATGCAAAAAATTTATGCATGGAACCATCGATCATGACAATCAGTCGAGATAACTTGCAATAGAAGATATAAATAATACCATCGGAATAAGATTAAAATGATACATTTATCACTTTCAACACGATGTAATATACGACACTTCTATTATACATCACAATGGGGGTGGGATACTAACGGTGAATATAAAAATGAATCCATTGAAAAAATATATAACTGGATGATTTGCTGACAAAACGAAAGCGCGCATAAGACATTCAGAGATATAAAAAGTTCAAAGAAAATTAGAAGAGAATAAGAGACGTCAATTGACTATAATTATTCGAATGAAAATGATCATTTCTCGATAATGAGAAAAATTGGTTCACCTCAAAGGATCGTGTGATAAAAGTTCGATTGGTTTCGTTGATCCTCCACCACCTGCAACAAGAAACTGATTGAAACAACAAACATTCTTGTTTTGCTACATTCTGACTAGTGCAGTGCAAGTCAACTGAATAAAGGATAGAATCTGAGCAGTTCTTGCATTCTGGTCATTTCAATCGGCCACCGACTGATCATATACTTCGACGAAAACCTCTAAATAGATATAAAACTTAAGGAAAAATCGCTTATGATCTACAACAAGATCAGTTACCTCCACGTGTCAACGCATCAATATAAGTTCGAACGATATGATTTCTTCTCGCAGTCGTGTACTCTTCAAGTGCATATTTGAATAATACTTCACGGTCCTGCATAGCCGCAATCGACTGAACCAATACACCTTTCAGTTCCAGGAATTCTACATTCAATAGGCGGCATTCTCCTTCAATAAAATTAAATAAGTTCGTGAATGCGACTACCTGAAAAATTTATGCATGCGAACATGATAGACAAAGAGCGGTTTCGCCGGTACACAAAATGATTCAAAACTTCCTCTGGGGAATTTACCAAAAACAGAATTAAACTTACTTTGGATGGAACGATATAGCACCTCGTAAGCTTGTTCCAGTTTTTTCGCCATCTCCTCCATTATTTCCAACCTATAAATAACCATTAAGTTGTTTATGATGAACGTATTTAAAAAATATATCAACTGCGTTCATCTAGTTTGTCACAACTGAATAGGAAAAAAGGAACGACTAAATATAACAGAGCTTAATTTCAGTCCAGTCGGATAAACCGAAAATGAATAGAACATTCATGAAAGCACAATTCAGAAGCAAAAATGCACCACGGCGAAAGGTACGAAACTTTAAACACGAATATTCTTCTCTCTTTAAAGCAACAACGCCTGTAAGTGTAAAAATTGACGTGAAAGAAGAAGACATACGCGGCTAAATGTTCTCCATTGGTACGCAATAATTGTTTACTGTGTGCATGAATTTGTTTCACATGTTCAAGTGCTGCGAAAAATTTCGAATCAACTGTTCCATCTGCAATGATATTTGGCAAAATGATGTGAAAATAATGGAATGATTATAATTCTCAGCCTTATAGCTAATAACCTGATTTGTAGATTTCAAAATACGTTTTGTACTAAAAGCGAAACTTACCAACTGGGGAACCCTTTAATGCGGTTTCCTCCTCATCACTCAATGAATATTTATCCAAGAAATCATTAATCACCAACTGCCTTTTCTCGAGCGACTTCCTAAAAAATGCCTTACAATTAGAAAAGAGACTCAAAGCAACTTTTCGGTTCCATTTACTTGTTGAACAAGCGGACACAACGTCTTTTCAAATGATTAAAATCGTAACATAAATAATTCGAATTTGACATGATCTAGGCCCGAGTTTCTCAATCTGGGGTGCTCGGATCCCCAAGGGGAGGCGATATGATATTCCAGATGGTGAAAGCTATGGTATCATTCTTTATTAACTGAAACAGACGAGCACGAAATTCATCGTATACATGAGAGTAAAGTAGGCGGGCGTGGACTATCAATTTTTGAACTTATCAATTATTTGAAGTATCAATTTGAACCAAAAACTTATCAATTTTGAGATGGTTAGAACGCACTCCGATAGTATGCANGACGGGAGATTAAGAACCGCTGATCTAAGTTATACAACAACAAAAAGAAATGAGAAAAATCGAACTTTTCGTCTTGAAGGGTAGCTGTTTTTGTGAGTAAATCTTGTGTTTTCGCTTTGTTGCTTTGAATTTTATTTGACATATCATCACAAACCGTTTTCAACGAACGTACCAGAGTGAAGAAATTTTGCACACTTTCATTCACCTACAATGTAACATTTTTACAACGACAAAACAATTTTCGATTCACAAACTCGAACTGCATCTTCAGTACACCAGGTTACTTATGCAAAGTCATCATAACATGTACTTAAAACTAAGAAGTTTACAAATCCGCCAAGTGCAACTAAATTCTAAGTTTACCTTGCCGAATTCCTCAACATATTCCTTATTTGCTTTAATTTCGTTGTCATGTAGTTGATCCATGAGACGGCGCTCAGTGTGTATATTAATTTCACCTACCATCGGTGCTACATAATCCATCATTTTTATGAAATCCTGAAAACCGAGATCTAGTCAGCACATCGAAGATATGTTTCCTAACAACAACAGAAACTGCTCATATCAAAACCATTCACTTTAAGAAGCTCTTACAGTGTGCGTCTCCTTGACAATGACTTTCTCGGAAAACGTCAAGATTTTGGAACTAAAACAAAATTGAAGTACCTCATCATTGTGAAGTTTCATCGAAACCAGTTCATCGATTTTCTTCTTGATTGGATTCGAAGCATCAGAAGCTGTTGGTAATCGGGCTTGCGAAGTGGTAGACGGCTGTTGTGAGGACATTCTGAGCCTGAAATCAAATACTAACGGCTACCGGATGGGTATGAAGTTGAGAAACTTAATTGTGCTTGTGTCTCCATTGAATTTCCTCACATCGCACGTGACGAACATCTGAGAAGACCAAGTGAGCATTTCGTCAAAAACAAAGAAAATGTGACAAAAGTTTACGAAAAAATTGAGAATGTAAAATTCTGAACCGAAAAAAATAGAGAATCTCAAATTTCAGATATTTCAAACGGTATGCAAACAGTTCGCCAAGCAGGAACAAAGTGACAGTTCGCCAAGTTTTTATTTTATTTTTTAAATTCTCAGGTGTTTAGGAATGTGAATTTCTTACCCATTTAACGACAACAAATCCGGGCAATTCATGCATCATCTTGTAGCACAAATCCAGGAGAATAACACATGATATACAGGGTGGAGNAAAAAAACGTAATGAAATTTGACCGCAAGTGCTAGTTTACGCGAGTTATGCCACTTTGCGTGATTAATGATGATGCTCAGTGGTTACAATTGGTATCTATACTGCAGTAATTGAAATTCTCTCTCTTGAACTCAAGCATTAGTAAGGAAGATGTATATCATGTTGTAACCGAGATTCAGTATTTTCCAAAAATGCATTAAACTTTGACCGCAACGAACAAAGTAATTTTCAGTGGAAGTCATGAAGATGGAATTTCTTGGTGTGCTTCTTTCATCATTTTTACCGAGTCATGCTGTATTATTTGTTATTGTATGATTACATCGATATTGTCATTTCGCTTTTCTCTTTCTCAAAAAAATTGTCAGTCTTCTGACAGTGACTGAACTGTTAAGAATATTATTTGACGACCCCAATTGAAAAGATGACTACGTGAACCAGTTATCAGCGCTCAGACTCAGTTTGAGGCTCAACGCGAAGCATAGGCTGATTGCTACAGTAGAACGAATTTCCACGTTGTTCTATTTTATCTGATTTTCTGATAGGACCGTCCAGTAGTGCTTGCAGCCTATATACATATTATATATATA